AAACCTCTAGTCCTACTATGCCTGTAAACTCCAGTGCCATAGAGGCAGAGACAGGAAGGTCCTGGGACTTGCCACCAGCTTAGCCTTAGGTTCACAGACATACCCTGCCTCAAATACCTCTACACCATATACATGTGCATGTCTCCCCGATCCCCAAAGAACAAAAAGAAAGAAAACGCAAACATTTTAATCGGGTTTCTTAGCTTCTGGTTAAAACTATAATGAAAGTATCTGATGCTGAAATTAAGGATATTAAGAATAAAGAATTCTTTTGGATCATTCTTTTTTTTTCTTTTATTTTTTTTGAGACAAGGTCTCCCTGTAGCCCCAGCTGGCTTGGAATTCACTGTGTAGACCAGGCTGGCCTTAAACTCACAGAGATACCTGCCTCTGCCTCCCAAGTGCTGGGATAAAATGTGTGTGCCACCACGCCCACCTTGGGTCATTATTTTCTTAACTTCCTAATTGAAAGTTTAATCTAAAATAGATTTCTTAGGATTTTCTATATCCTTAGACTGTCTGCAAGTATGAATTTTCTTTATTCCATCTCTTTGAATCCTAACCTTAAGTTTGAATTATCAAAATATTTTTACAGGAGATGTGTAGTCTTCCAGATTATGTGACATTTAAGAGTCTCCCTGGGATCCCATTGCAGCACATCTTCATCGCGGCAGGCGACGACTTGCTCCAACTCATACAAGGCTTGTTCTTATTTAATCCGTGTACTCGAATTACAGCTTCACAGGTATTTTAAATATTTTGCTTATTTCTTTTTACAGGTATTTTAAATATTTTGTTTATTTCTTTTTATGAGTGTATGAGTTTTCCTGCATGTATATAAGTGCACCACATGTGTACAGAGGCCAGAAGATGGCATCAGATTCCCTGGATCTGGAGTTATAGACTGTTCTTAGCCTCCATATGGATGCTGGAAACCTAACCTGGGTCCTCTACAAGAGCAGTCAGTGCCTTAAACCATTGAGCTATTGCTCCAGCTGCACAAGCATTTTAATACATCTTTCTTTATATTAGAAAATATAGGGCCAGGCCTGGTGGCACACGCCTCTAATCCCAGCACTCAGGAGGCAGAGGCAGGCGGATCTCTGTGAGTTCAAGGCCAGCCTGGTCTACATAGTTCCAGGACAGCTGGGGCTACAGGGAGACCCTCTCTCAAAAAGACCAAAAAAAAAAGAAAATATAATCTTCAGCCAGGTGTGTGTGGTGCAGGCCTTTAATCCTAGCACTTGGGAGGCAGAGGCAGGTGGATCGCAGATCAGGGCTAGCCTGGTCTACAAAGTGAGTTCTAGGCCAGCTGGGGCTACAGGGAGGACTCTGTCTCAAAAAGAACAAAAACAAACAAACAAACAAACAAATAACCAAAAAAAAACCCTATCAATAATCTATCTATCTATCTATCTGAAGATAAATATATTGTGTCCTTTCTTCAAGTTATAAATAAACGCTATCCTACCTGGTATTAAATTTTATTATACATGCACAATTATAAGAATTTATACTTGCTTAGGAACATGTACATGTGCATATATGTATCTATTTTAATTAATTGGCTTTTAAGCTGTTTACAGAGGGGGAAAAAACAGGCTGGCCTTGAGCTTGATATGTAGCTGAGGGTAGCCTTAAACTTCTGATCTTCCTGCCTCTGCCTTCCAAGCACTAGAATTAGAGGCATGTGTCACCATGCCTAGCTCTTGTCAGAGAATTCTGCTAGAGCAAATAAATTGTTGTGGTTACAGTACTGGTGTATTTGCCTGTATAGTATTTGTTGACAAACATCATTTAAGAGGAAATCAATTTTATTGGTGATACATACCCAAATAAAGAAAATGTAGAACATTTTACACTAGTGGTTAATAGAAACCTTGGAGAGGCTCAAGTAAACTTTCTGCTCATTCACAGTGGGTTGTAATTCATTGGTTCTAATACCTAATACCTTGCTAAGGATAGTTCATAATTAGTATAGGCTATTCAGTTGTGGACTACTGGAAGGGGGGCAGTCTCTTTTCTTCCTGTTCCCTTCTTAGGCTACTAGATATTTATTTGTAGTAATGTGTATGTTCAAATACTTGACATTAATTTTTATTTTGGGGGGAACCAGGAATGTTCATATAGTATTTCTAATGCTCTCATCCATTTTGTGGTTAGATTTTCCTACATACTGTAGAAATATTTAAGACCTTATTTTTGAGCTGGGCATGGAGATACAGGTCTATAATTCCCCCACCTATAGGTACCACAAGTGAGAGGCCAGTCTGGTTTGTACACCAAATTATAAACCAGCTAGAGCTGCATAGTAAGACCTTGTCTCAAAATAAAAGCTAAGGAATAAAACCTTACTGTTTTCGTTTTGTTTGAGATAGGGTCTCCCTATAGCCCCAGCTGGACTGGAACTCGCTCTGTAGACCAACCAGGCTGGCTTCAATCTCACAGTGGTCCTCCTGCCTCTGCCTCCTTAGTACTTAGATTAAAGGCGTGTACCACCACACCCAACAAAACCTTACTTTTGATTTCTTTTTTTTTTTTTGGAAAGGCATTGAAAACTAAGTACTTCAGTAATCGTCCAGGGCCAACACCTGGATGCCAGTTGCCAAGACCAAACTGTCCAGTAGAAGCCTTAAAGGAACAGTCAAATCCAGCCATGGCCACAAAACGGAAAAGAACAGAGGCCTTAGAAACAGGTAAAAATCTACTGTTATAGGAAGTGAGATGACCTCAAAAGCCTCCAAATAGCTCAAATAAAGCTAGTGACAGAATGCTAGCCAAGAAATATAGCTTCAGAGCTATTTAAGTTGTATGTAACAGATTGTGCTATTATTAACTGCTTCCTTCCACTGAAAATACTTCAGAGTTGTGGGCACCATCAATGTGTGTCTTCTTCCCCCACCACTTTTTTTTGTTTTGAGACAGGGTCTCACCATGTAGCCCTGATTGACCTGGAGCTCACTATGTAGACCAGTCTGGCTCATGATTACTGAACTTAAACATGCCTGGCCTCATCAACAGTTCTTAAGCACTATGTCCTTAATGTTTAACAAGTGCCACTATGTAGATAATAGAGTTAGAATACAGTGACTGACTAAAATCAGTTTTTAATACTAAATGTGAGCCAGATGTAGTGGCACATGCCTTTAATCCCAGCACTTGGGAGGCAGAGGCAGCTGGTTCTCTGGGTTCAAGGCCAGCTGGGGCTACAGGGAGACCCTGTCTCAGAAAGACTGCCATCTACCCCCCCCCCCCCCCCCAAAAAAAAGGACTAAAAACTAAATGTGAACCACCTTCTTGTTTTGCTTTTAGGAGGATTGCCCAAGAAGCTAATTTTTTAGTTATTGAGAATACTGGACTGAGGAAAGAAATAATCTAAAAGGCAAATAATGGAGAAAAAAAGGAAACATTAACTAAATGCTGTAGAAGTGAATTTGTAAATATTCTACACATGTAAAATATGTACAACTGAGTTATTTTTATTAAATGTATTTTAAAATAAAATATATGTGCTTGTTATGATTAAGAGTACAAAAACAAGTCAGTTCTCTGAAATGCATAATTGAAAATGCATTAAAAGGGCTGGAGAGGCTGGGCCTGGTAGCTCACACCTTTAATCCCAGCACTTGGGAGGCAGAGGCAGGTGGAGCTCTGTGAGTTCAGGGCTAGCCTGGTCTACATAAAGAGTTCCAGGTCAGCGGGGCTACAGGGAGACCCTGTCTCAAAAAGACAAAAAAAAAGCAGGCTGGAGATGGCTCAGTGGTTAAGAACACTGACTGCTCTTGCAGAAGACCTGGGTTCGATTCCCAACATCCACATGGCAGCTAACAACTGTCCATAACTCCAGTTCTAAGGGAATCAGACACTCTCTTCTGACCTCTGAGGGCATTGCATGACACAGGGGCACTTACATATATGTAGTAAAGACATTCATACATAAAAATTTAAAACAAATTTAAGTCGGGTATAGTGGCAGGTGCCTTTAATCCTAGCACAGGGAGGCAGAGGCAGGTGGATCTCTGTGAGTTCAAGGCCAGCCTGATCTATATAGCGAGCTCTAGCCTAGCCAGGGCTACAAAATTAGACTGTCTCCAGAACTCTTTTTTTTTTTTTTTGTCTTTTTGAAGCAGGGTCTCCTTGTAGCCCCAGCTGTCCTGGAACTCACTATGTAGACCAGGCTGGCCTTGAACGCACAGAGATCCACCTGCCTCTGCCTCCCAAGTGCTGGGATTAAAGGCGTGCACCACCATGCTCGGCCTTATTTCTTTTTTAATATTTTATGTACATGTGTGTATTGCCTGCATGTAGGCAAGTGCACCTGTGTTGTGCAATGACTGCGAGGACGGAAAAGGCCATCTGATCCTCTGGAACTAGAGTTAAATTGTGTGTGGTGGGGCTGGAGAGATGGCTCAATGGTTCAGAGTGCTGACTGCTCTTGCAGAGGACCCGGATTCGATTCCCAGCACCCACATGGCAGCTACAAACCATCCTTAACTGCAGTACCAGGGGAATCTGAAGCCCTCTTCTGGTGGCCACCTTTTTTTTTTTTTAATTTTGTTAATTATTTGTATATTATGTGTATGAGTGTTTGCATGTATCTAAGTGTACTACAAGCATGCAGTGCCTTCAGTGGCCAGAAGAAGATGTCTGCTCCCCTGGAACTGGGGCTTACAGATGGTTAGCCTCCATGTGGGTACTGGGAATTTTGGGGGGACCCTGCTGCTAAGGTTGTGGTCCACCATGTCCGGATAGCTCTAAGGGGCTCGGCTCTATATGGAAGGACTCCCTTTCTCAGTGGGAGCCTCCTGCTCTCTGCCTGACTTACCTGGGAAGTGCCGTCAAGCACGGATGCCTGACCTTATTTGGAACATGACTTTTGGCATAGTTTCCTGCAATAAAACTGCCCCCAGGTTTTTTTTCTACACAATAATTAGGCATTGCCCTATAGTAGTCGGATGATAGGATCCCCCTACCACATGTAAGTAAAGCATACTATGAGCACCTATCAGCTGAAGCTTTGGCTGCTGCCTCCACACTATATTTTCCCTGACGCCCCCTAAATAAACAGAGCTGTATCACTGAATCCAACTCCCTGGAAAGTTTTCTGTCATGCTCACTGGATGTCCTGACCCCGTTCATCGCTTCTGCTCCCTTTGTCCTCCTGGATTGGTGGCCAATGGCCCTTGAGGGGAGGGAGAGACCCACAGCTGGTGCACGAATGTGAGGCTCCTGGAACATGTGGAGTTTGTTGAGTACACCCTCTCTCCAAGAGGGTAACAGCAGCTTTGCCTTGGCCATCTTGTTGTGCCCAGTTCTCGAGACCCCAAAGACCACCAAGGAGCTGACCGATGCAAACACACAAGGGTATTTTTATTGTTACAAGCTTAAGCTTGGGCCCACTCTGTCACCGACCCAGCGGATCTCAGATGTGAGACCCCTTGCTTTGGGAGACAGGATTTTATAGGTTTATTTCAGCAAGTTCAGCAAGTAGGGGGATAGAGGGTCTCCAGCCTGGCAAGCATCTGATTGGTTGCAGCCCAGTGCCAAACCATAAACTGCTGGCTTCAGGAAATCTGAAAAGACATCTGGACTTTTAGTACTTTCCTGTCCCTGGTTAACTAACCTTGGGGGATAGTTGTTCTCTATCCATTCCAAGTATACCCCTTTATTTTGTGTGTGTGGTTTCTCCTGGAACAGGGCTCAGGGCTGGGTCAGTCCCATGGAGGTTTTATACTCAGGTCTCTCATTCCCTCCTCTGACTAGTACCTTGGGGGCCCAATCATGGGCGCTCCCTCATCTCATGTTCACCACCCAGACTCTGGAGGGACTGATAGTGGGTTCGCATTACCATTAGCTGTACAGCTCCCAGCTGCTCTTTTATAAAAGCGACTAATTTATTTAAAATGCAAGGTCCAAAAGTCAAGAGCATAATCAGAATGAGGAGGGGTCCAAGTAAAGTTTAAATCAAAGAGGTCAACCAAGGGGAGCTATTGAACCAGGATTCAAACCATGCTTGTTTAGTCCTATATTCGTTCTCTCGAGCCAGACTTTCTCTAACCTTGGCCAGGGATTCTTTGACGACCCCAGAGTGATCTACATAAAAACAACACTCTTCCTTAAGGGCAGCACAGAGGCCTCTCTGCTGCAAGAACAAGTCTAGTTCTAGGCCTCTCCTATTCTGCAGAACCATTTCTGCCAAGGAGGTCAGGGATAATGGGAGGGGGCATTCCAAACATGATCTCAAAAGGGGTTAATCCCATCTGGTAAGGGGAGTTATGCACTCAATAGAGTGCGAACGGAAGGAGAGTCACTCAGTCACCACCAGTCTCTAAGGTCAATTTAGTTAAGGTCTCTTTCAGAGTTCTATTCATTCTCTCTACCTGTCCTGAACTCTGGGGTCTATAAGCACAATGTAGTTTCCAATCAATCCCCAGAAGAGTGGCCAGACTCTGACTTTCCTTGGACACAAAAGCCGGTCCAGCCGGTCCATTATCTGACCCTATCATCTGTGGAAAGCCATACCTGGGGAGGATGTCTTCCAACAGTTTCTTTGGCACCATTTGAGCCATTTCATGTTTAGTAGGGAAGGCTTCAGTGATCCTGAAAAAGTATCTACATAAAGACTAGTAAATAACGATATCCATACCTGCCAGGTTTTACCTCAGTGAAATCTGTTTCCCAATGGGCTCCAGGTTTTCTCCCTCGAAGTCTGATTCCTGGGTTTCTAATATTTGGCACCGCATTAGTGAGTTGGCAAGCTTTACAGCCATTGATAATGTCTTTAATCTTTAAATTGGCATCCTTGATTTTTACTTCGGCATGTTGAATTAAGTCCTGCATCCTCTTGATCCCCATCTGGGAAGAACAGTGTATTTTTGCCAACATTTGTTTTCCTAATTTTTCCGGGAGGATCAGCTTCCCTTCTGCTGATCTCCACCATCCTTCCAGACATTGGGTCCTCGGCAGTCCCTTTATCCATTTCAGGTCCTCCCTGGTGTATTTGGGCTTTTCGGGGAGGTTTGGGTCATCTGGGTCAATTAGTGTGGTGGCCAAGATTGAGTTAATTTGGAGGGCAGCCTGTTTAGCCACCTGATCCGCTTGATTGTTTCCTTGGGAAATCGGATTGCCCCTTTTTGATGACCTGGGAAGTGGATAATTGCCAGTTTCTTTGGCAACCAGAGAACCTTTAGCAACATTAGGATTTCTTCTTTATTTTTTGCAGTCTTTCCCTCTGCCGTTAATAAGCCCCATTCCCAATATATTGCCCCATGAATGTGCATGGTGGCAAAGGCATATCAGCTGTCCATATATACATTAAGCTTTTTGTCCTTTCCCAATACCAGCACCTTAGGCAATAAGTTCAGCCTTTTGGGCCGAAGTGCCAGTGGGCAGAGGTTCTGCCCAAATGATGCTGGTTAATGATACTACAGCTGCCCTTGTATACCTCTTGCCATCCTGGACAAAGCTGCTCCCATCAGTGAACCAGGTTACCTCAGCATCAGATAATGGGGTATCTCTCAAATCTGATCATGTACCGTGGACATGGGCCAGGATTCCGGCACAATCATGCAGGGGGGCATCCAAGTCTGGGTCCAGCAAAAGCGTGGCTGGATTCAGGGCAACTGGTACCTGGAAGGTGATTCTAGCAGGATTAAGAAGTAATGCCTGATAATGAGTTACATGGGCGTTACTTAGCCATCTGTCCAGGGGCTGCTTTAAAACTCCTTCAATTGCATGTGATGTGGTGATGGTCAAGTTCAGGCCCAAAGTCAGTTTGTCAGCATCTTTTACCAGTAGTGCTTCTTTGAGTATAGCCCAAGTATTGGACCTGTTGTTTGCATAGTTGGGCCTTTTTAGCAGAGGCCCGATAGCCCAGGCTTCCCAACATTTGCAACAGACGCCCTGTACCATCCATGCAAGCCTCTTGGCTGTCTGTCACTACAAGTAGGTCATCCACATATTGCAAGAGACTCCTTTCCCTGACACTATCTGTCTCAGATGCCTCCGCTGGTCCTCTGTATCTGCAGTGACAGCCAGAAGGATCCTTGCCAGGTCCTTGTTCTGCCTCCTTTCTGCCTCTATCTGTTTTTTCTCTGCACTATGCCTATTATTGTACACTTTCTCTGCCACAGTTATTAAATCCCTTAAGCTCTTTTCACCGAGTCTCTCTACTCTTTGGAGCTTTTTTATATCCGGAGATGACTGGTTAATAAAAGCCATGGCCACTGCCTCTATATTATCTTTGGCCTCCGGGTCTAATGGAGTGTACCTGCAGAAGGCATCCGTTAGTCACTCCAAGAACTCAGCTGGGCTTTCATTTAGTTCCTAATATTGTATACCTTTTCCAAATTAGTTGGCCTACGAGCAGCCGCTTTGAGACCTACCAACAGAGCCTGGCGGTAGATCAGAAGCCTCCCCTTACCTTCTGCAGTATTATAATCCCAATCAGGCCGGGTCAGTGGATAGGCAGCATCAATCAGTGCTGTGTCACCAGTAGGG